TCACTATGGTCTCCCACTCCAACTACACCCTTCCCTTTGACATGTCGCTTAAGATCCTCCATCTCCGCTGCCATTCTCCGGATGACGGCGTCTTGGTCCCTTAGCTTGTGTTCCAGTTGCCTGGCGTGCGATTCTCTCCGTCGCCGGTGACCGTCTGGACTCCGTGAATGTCCAAAGCTTCTTCTGCGCTTATCCCGCGCGTCTCTTGAATGTCTTCCTGGAGAAGTTTCCAGGTCCGCCATAGGAGGAATGGCGGGATGTCCTTCTCTCCGTCTGCCTGACTCCCGGGTAACTCCGTTGATGGCAGACAACGGAATCTCGTCGTTGTTCGCCATGGACGGCGATCAGATGAGCCTGGAAGACAAGGTTTTGTCTTTCAAAGTTTCCCACAGACGGCGCCAATTGTACGGGGAGCAAATATTCCGGCAAGCCCGTATTCTTTTCTTCCAAGCTCCGTCTCTGTCCGATCACCTGCGAGCAAATAATGGTGAGCTACCCGGCGGTGTGTGGCCGGAAAAACCCTCCGACGATCAAGTTAGCACACACCTTAGGATAGAGAGAGAGAGGGGGGGTTAGAGTGTAGGAGTTTTCTTACAAAGTGTTCGTCTGTTGCGTATGGGGGGCGCAGACATGCTTATATACTCTCTGCGCCCCATATCTACTCCCAGTCATCTTCTGACACGTGGCTCCGCTATCCCATCTGTCAGCGTAAACCTTGCTGAACATTACCTAATCTCAACTGCCTGCCTTCTCAGCTGGAGCTCGGCAGCCGAGCTGCTCCATCCACGGCCGTGCTGTGCTTCATACCCAAGCACTTTACTGGCTAAGTCCAAGGAGGACCGGGCTAGGCGGCATCTCGGCAAAGCCGAGCCCGGGGCACCTCCTGTGGTCGGCCTTCCTGCCGATCAAACGATTACCTCGGCTGATCACGCCTTTCCGAGCGTCGGTCACTCAGCTTGACTGGCTTCCACCATCCCCTGATCAAGCAGCTTGGTCCAACCGAGCACTGCCTTGCCGAGCAGCTTCTTTACGATCTGGAGCGGCACATACTTGGCCCAACTCCTGCTCGGCCCAAGTTCTGGCAGCCCATCTCTGGGCGAATCGCCGGTCATCTCGGCCCCATGCACCATTAGGCTCTCAACCTGCTCGGCCGTTACCTCGGCCCAATTCCAGATCATAAATCTCCCTCTCAGCAAGTTTTACACAAATATCTCAGATATTTTGCCTCAAAAATCTATAAGTACACCTCTCCACCTCATTCTTGAGGGTGGAGAATTTTTGGCTTCATTTGGAAGGAAGGAGAATTGTTTTCAAGAAGCTAGAGCTCACTTCCACTTGTTTTGGCCATCACACCACCTCAACTCAAAGCCTTTCACCTCTTGTACCTCTCTCTTGATTCATACACAACCCAAACACCATTAAAGCTTGATCTTGGAGCTTATTGCTAGTATTCAAGCCAACACTAAAAGCCTTAAGGGTGTTAGGAGGGGAGTTTGATAATCAAAAGCTCTTCATTCCTTTGAAAGGTAAAGTTTGAACATTTTCTCATCTTTTTCTCACTTCTTCCTCTTCTATAACTGTTGTTGCTATATCATGCGATTTTCCTTGGGTTGTGGAGGGCTTAGCCACCTACCCATAAAATTGTAGTGAAATCTCTCTTTACTTTCATATAACTTTTTTTTTTAATTCTCTTAACTTTAGGATGTGAAGGGCTTTGCCACCCATCCATAGAATTGTATTGTAATCTCTCTTTACTTTCATGTAACTCTCTCTTTTTTTTCTTTTTTTCTTTTTATGTAATTCTTTTAGCTTTGGGATGTGGAGGGCTTTACCATTCATCCATAGAATGGTAGTATAACTTCTTTTTACTTTCATGCAATTTTCTCATCTCTTTTTCATCATTCAAGTGTTTTGGCTCATGTGATTCAACCCATCCTCAATCCTAATGGGTATTTGTGGTTGTTTTATGGAATCATTTGGATGATCCTTCGCTATCTTCCTCTTTCTCTTTGTTTTGTTTGAAGTCTAAGTGAAATATTCTTTATCAAAAGTGTTAGAAATTCTCCTCTCGATCAAATTTGAGCATGGAAATGGATATTGAATCCATATTTCATGTGTAGGAGGATAAGTTTCCAATTACTCTTGATGATGTAATCCTTTAATAGTATGGACTTGGATATTAATGCAAGTTTCTATCTATTTCTTTGGGCTTGACTTTCTTTTTAGCTTCAATTCATGCAAAAATTAGTTTTTGTTCATTTAATAGCTTTTGCACATATCTTATAGCATCTTTTATTGTAGTATGATGGATGAAGCCTATCTACATCTTCATTGAGCATCCCCATGATAGGACGTAGCAGAAAGAATGAGCATCATTTGAAAATGTGTTATTTGCTCTGTTTCGATTTTGCTGCACAAAATAAGGTTTTCTAGATTTTCTATCCGGCCGGCCAAATAAAGGGAACGGCCAGTAGTTCTTTCACCCCACCAAACCATTTATTTGTTTGGCCAGATGAATTTTCTAGGCAAAATAGAGTAGAACTGAGCAATTTCAGGCGAATGATCTCCTAGGCACTTGCGGCTTCTGTTATATTTCTCTTCCTATTTTCTCATGATTTGTTAGATTCAGCTTCTATTTAATTAAATAAATTCCTTGTTATAATAATTTTCAGCCCCACTTCTTTCTATTCATTTCATTGTTGTAATAATTTCTAACCCTACGTCTTTTATTTCTTTCATTGTAAAGGCATGTTATAATAACTTCTAACCTCCATTTCTTTCTATCCCTTTGCTATGTATGTCTTCCAGTCATCATTTCTTTCTATCTCTTTTATTTCTATGCTTTCCCTATCTGTTGATAGCATAACGTTTTCTTTTTCATCATATCCATGCCTTGCATCCATATTTCATGCATCTGGATTCAGATCATTTGTATTTGTGGGCTTACCATTTCCTATGTGATTTTGTGCGCTACCTCATGCTTTGAGATGATCCACATGTCATGTGTCAGTAGTCGAGTCCTAAGTAGCATTCTTGTGTATGTATTACATTAGTATTTTGCATATAGGATCATGCATATTTTGCTAACATTTTTCTTTATCTTTTTGCTAGATGCGAGTAAATACTAGGTGAGCATTTATAACTTTAGCATCCCGCCTGTGCATGATTTTTCTTATTATGTCTAGCATTTTACCATGCGGCTATTTGCTTAATTGATCTATCTCTATGATTGCCCGTGGATGGAAGTTGTGTTGCTTAAGTTAGGATGATACTGCTTTTATGCTTGTGAGCTCAATTTCCTTTGAGTTGTACATTTTTCAAAACCCTTTTAAAATGCATAAGATCAAAGCATCCCAAAATGAGTGACGCAGTCTATACTTGATTGCTCCCATAATAATTTTTAGCATTAATAATAATTGGAACATGGGCATATATTATTTATAAAACTCATATTATGATTTAGTAGAGGTCGATTCTTTGATCGGGTGAGCGATGGTGTTCAATTAATGACCTTCCTCCTTACCTAAGACTCCAAACCAAGCCATCTTAGGTTGTGACAAACAATGGCCTTTTGGCACGAGTCATAGGTTTTCTAATTTTCTCATAAGATTAGATGGCAACTCTAAGATGTAGTAATGCAGTCCATTTCTGGCAAATGTTGCAATTAATGGATTTTCTATAGATTTGCCAGATTTGGAGTTTCATTTATAGTTTACATTGCACTCGCGAGACTAGATAGAAGATCGGGAGTCCGAATTGTCGAGCGTACTCAGTTCCTCCCCGGGGCGTCCCATAACTTTCTTTAATTTTCTACACATCTTTTAATAAAAAAATAAAAAAGCTAATTAAAATAGCCAATTCCCAAACGAAGTAATTGCTAAACTCCATCTTTTTCTCTAAATCTCTCCAAATCTATAGATATTCAATGAGTTTTATATTGTGTTTGGTTCATAAATTTGGTTAAAAAATTAAAAATAAAAAATGTGAGTGAAATGAAATATAATTACATTTCACAAATATTTTCTTTTTTCCTTTCCAAATCTCTACCTAAACCCATGAAAAGAAAAAATGAAAGGAACGAAAAAAAAAAAAAAAAACCTTCACTATTTCTCTCTTGTTAAGTTATCTAAACAAGTAATTCGAGAGAGACTCCTTTCTTTGTTTTTTTTCTCTCCAAATTATCCAATCCAAATGGGATACATTGCATGTTTTTCCTAACAAGCCTATTTCACCAAATCCGTGCCACTGTCTTTGCAATTGTATCTTAGGAGGCTCAAAATATACTGCTAGAGGAACGAAGAATTCAAATGTGGCAACAAATTCAAGCGAGAAAGAAATTTTTCATATTATTTTTATTTATTTTTTTTATTTTTTATTTTTTAACACTTCATGTATATAATAGCCATGAATTTTACATTTGCCTACTCTCAAAAGAATGAGAGACGTTGACTGTGATCCTTGTGTTTAAGAAACCCTTCTCTACTACAGGTACAACTCGAATGTTTTAGATCTCAAATTTGAATAGATCAGTGAACATAAAAGATAGAATAAATAAAAAACGAAAGATGCTTTAGATCTCAATTTGGTCTTGTTTTCATTTTTCTTTGATTTTGATTTGTGTTTTAAAAAACCAAAAGATGAAAAGTTTGAAAACGTCTGTTGTTTTCATTTTTGTGCATAAACCAGTTTTAGAAAATTCAAAAACTACTTTTTAATATTTCCTAAAAAATGAGCTGTTTTAAAAAAAATAAATCCCAAAAAAAATTTCAAAAACAGATTGTTAAATAAGTTTTCTATATATTTTTCAAAAAACAAAAAACACAACCAAAGCCCTTAGCCTTCGCTTCAGTTCCTTTTTTTTTCAAATAAATAAATAAATAACTCTCTCCACAAATCAAATATACAAACAAGCAAGGAATACAATAGAAATCACATTAACGGGTCTCCAATAATTTCAAATGTAATGAACTAGCCATGTCAATGCTAGGAGACTGAACACATGAAAAATGAAGTGCATGATATTCTGGAAGAAACATGCAAGTAAGAGCAACAAAAATCTAGTCAATTACTCTCTCACAAGAAATTGTACATCAAACTTTTCAATACCAAATAACCATTCAAGTGATCCTGCCGGTAGAGAGACATTAAAGAAGGAACTAGAGAACTGACTAATTAAACGCCAATTCACGTCTTTACTCCTTTATGATAGCAAAGGAAACAGTTTGATTTCATAATCTTTTGACTTGAGAAAGGAAGGAAAAAAGATAACATGAGACCTATATTCCTATTCAAAAGAAAATCTGCCTCGGGATGAGTCGCTGCATGTAGGCTGTCATAAAGGCATTGAGATGCCTGCAACATGAAGGAGAGCAGCTATTAGAAAGACAATTGAAGGGACGTGAAACACTATGCATTTTAGAATCCAAAGAGATAACAAGGCAATGTGTTTTTCTTACAGTCCCCCCCCATTTGTGGTGGGGTGGGGGTGTTAAGAAGACCAACTCTTAAACAATATTCCATGTGGCTTTATGTGTTTTGTGAACTATTGTGGGGGAACAAAAAAAGGAGATCCTTTGAGAATGTTGAGTTATCTTCCTTTTTTAAATAACAAGAACCCCCTGACCCAACCTGTGATGATTTCCTTGGTACAACCCCAGATATGTGCAACCACCAGCTAGCCTCGAATATCAGGTAAAGTAGGGACTTTACTCCTTCCTTTATTTATTTTTTGGTTGAGAGAGGACTACCCTTTCTCTATTTCATCTTATGATGAATTGTATATGCCCATGGATGAACAAACCCCAGGTTTCTTTTTGAGCATACAAGGTTGGCCCCCTTAAGATGGTTTTGTTTAATTCCACCACTCTTACTTATAAATTAAAGAAATAAAATTATTAAAAAAAAGAAAAAAAAGTGGAGTAAACATAAATGTTGTAGCACGAATATATAATAATTAATTCACACAATTACAAAATGACACAGCTATTCACACTAAATATTGGCATGGTTTGTGCTTTCTGTCCCAACAAGAACTGAAAACACACCCTCCTCAAAACAAATAATAAGAAAATAGAAAAGGAGAAAAATAGAAAGGGGAGTGTTGAAGGAAATGAACAATCACAGAGAAAACTTGCAGTCCAACTTCAAGTGATACATTTTTAAGATGAAGAGGCATAGGTGCTGTTTGGTGTAGCTATTAAAACAGATTATAGATTATAACTTAACAGATTATAAATTGTGACTTTAATTAGAAGCTGTTAATCTGTTTGGTATAGCTGTTGGATTATAGATTTAAGTTGCTGAATAGCGTTTGTTAAATAAGTTGTGAAGTAGCTTTTTCAATTAATTTTTATTTTTTATTATTCACTATTTGTCTACATTTTTCATAAAAAAAAATAATAATATTTTATAGTCCATTTGGGTCTTTTTCTATTTTTAAAAAAATAAAAAATAAAAAAATCTAAGAGTATAACCGTGAATTAATATGTCCAAAGCAGAAACTGATAATCAGAAGCAAGGGGTGAGCAGCTTCTCAAAATCAGCTTTTTTGACTTAAAATAAGTTGTTAGAATCAGAAACTATTTGAAATAAGTTTAACCAAACAGTCCAAAATAACTTTTTAAAAGCCAGAAGCCATAAGCTGGCTCAAAAAAGCTCCACCAAACACCCCTATAATTTACAAGGTTCAGTTACTTGTGGCAAATCCCAAATCAATAATGGACTGCACTACTCCACAAAGGACAAATTACGACAATAGTCTTTGTACTTTGATCTTTGTATCATTTTGGTTCCTGTAATTTTAATTGGCTTGATTTTGACCATGAATTTATGACTTTGTTTCAATTTGGTCCAATTGATTACAACTCTTAATATTTTTTTTTTATTATAACAAATACGCATATGAATGGCATGTGTCGCATTTTTAAGAGCAAAATCATAAATTTACTCAATTCTGTGAGTTAACCTCAACCTATTTAGTGATTATTTTCTGTCAAAAACACTAACGGTATTATCAATTGGACCAAATTAACACAATATCTAAAATTAAGGGTCAAAATTGAACAAATTGGAAGTGTAAGGACCAAAATGATATAAGAGAAAAAAATGTAAGGACCACTAGTGTAATTTGTCTTTCCACAAATAATCTAATCTTACTTTTCAAGTCCATGTGGTATAAGATGTTAAACAAACTAAGAATACTGGGAAAAGAGATCTAAGAAAGGTGTTCACAATATGAGTATAGCCATAATGAGATTGTTGGATATCCAATGTAACAAGAAAGGGAAATTCTATTTGCGCACCATGCAAACTCTCAGTAGACATCGTAAATGGTGTTCGGATATAAACTTCTAAACAAATGTCAAATGTTCGAATTTAAAGTTATGAACAAAAACAAATTGTTCAAATATGCATTTCTTTCAATTATTTATATCTGGACAATTGTTTTATGTAAAAGTCATCACTCTGCGATGAAATAAATAGTGGGCATCTCTGTTTGGTTTGGGGTTGTACAAAAATCTTTAAAAAATTCATTGAATACAACAAAATAAGAAAATGCACTGAATTTTCGTTTTTTTTTTTTTTTTTTTTTTTTCGTTTTTGTTTTTTTTTTTTTTGTATTTTTTTGCAATTGGTGAATTTTTTTTTTAAAAAAATTCTCAGTATTATACTTTTTAAATGTATCTAGATTAGGTGTAACTAAAAAAATAAAAAAATTGCATACAATATTTTTTTTAAAAATTCACTAAAAGCAAAACAAAAATGAAAAATAAAAAACTCAATTTCTGAAAAGTGAGTCAAACAAAACAAAGAATCTTTAATCCTAAAATATTCAATTTTGGACAACAACAATGATGAAGGATACATTTGAGACCAATGTCTTCAAAATTATTACACCAAAATGAGTGTTAAATGCAATTTAGTGTTATCAAATAAACTAGTTGCAACAGGATACCTTAATTTAACTACTCACTATTATTTGATTCAATCACAGAAAGAACCATATAGGTAGAGCTACTGACAAAACAATATTAAACACACCAATCAAACGGAAGAAGATGTTTCTAAGACTGAACAGAGCTACATGTGTAATGTTGACCAGAACAACATATTCTTTGGCAATGTAGAAAGAATAACTCAAACCTTTAGTTTTCAAAACATATTCAAATAAGAGTAATAAAGAAAAGGATTCCAAGATGAATGAGTATCCATGCATTAATTAAAAATCACATATGAACTAATTAGAGAATTTGAGAGTTGCTCAATCATACAGACAGTGCCTTATCCCAACAACTGAGAAAATGAGACAAAACTTCTTGACTTTTATATCCCAATATCTTGCCTTTTGTTCCCTATTAAATGTATACTATTATGCCCATTTTTACCGTTCCTCTCTCTTTCTTGCACCATCAATTTACAAAATATCTCATAAATGCAGTCAGCAAAACTATTTCAACATGTCCAAACTCTATTAAGTGGTGTTCCTTGACACATCACCTTCTCACTCAATGAATATCAACATCTCCGTAACACAGATATAAATTACATTTGCTGCCAAGCCAACAATCTAATGCAAAAAAACCATGGCTAGTTCTAAAACTCCTTCATGAATTTCCTTCTCAATTAATTGGGATGAACTTATGGAAAACCTAAACACACATTTTCATTTATCAACCACTGCAAATTAAAATAAAATAGCTAAGGCAAAAATGTGCAAAGCAATGACCTTGAACTATGTTCTCACAAGTGAATACTTCTATTGCTCCTTCCTAACCTAAGAGAAACCTCATTGCTCTCTACCCTCTGCATGTGTGTATACGTAAATATTTATATTAGAAACAAAGTAACCACTATTTCTATATTCTAATCCATCTTAAACCTGACAGAATAGGATTTTAAAGAAGGAATATTATTTGAAGGAAACCAATATTCAAAACCAAAACTTTCATAATAGTCCAGTTAGAACTTAAGTTTAATATATATTCTCAACACTTTACCATTTTTTCAACAGTCTCTCATTACCATTCTTGGTAGCTAGTGGCGTCTCATGAATTTTTGTTAAGGTAGACATTTTTTTTTTGTCAATCAATAGAAGAGAAATTATAAATATTATAAAAATCACATCAAATTAAAATATCCAACTATTAAAGAAAGTCCAATACATGACCACAAGTATACAACAAACCCAATGAACGAGGATGAACCTAGACAGGGGATGGCATGTAGGGGTAATCACCACCCACCCCTACACTAGTATTACCTCTTAATCATCTCCAAACTATATGCGCTCACTCCCTGTAGATTTCTTTTTCTTTTCTTTTTTTCATTAACTGGTCACCTCCTCTGTATTAATGTATATGTACCCAAACTTGTTAATTAATGCCTAGTCAAGTACGTCCTTAAATAGAATTTGCTTTTTATTTGGAAAGCTATGAATATAGTATCACATTGGGCCCGATACACAACCGCAAATATACAACAAACCCAACAAACGAGGATGGACCTAGATAGGGGGTGGCAAGTAGGCGGGATCACTAGCCCTACAATTTCAAAATGCCCCTTTACTACACTAGTATAATATATTATGACATTGGGCCCAATATACATAATAGAGGCTATGTACATGCTGGATTATGAGACATTTAGTAGTCCAACCTAATCAATTCAAAGTTAAAATTTTGAAAATTAAAAAATAGAAGTAAAAATAACAAAACACTCAATTCATCTCACATAAATGACAAAACAAATAAGCAATCATAGCTCATGGTGTTCAAAACAAAAAAATCCAGAGTGACAGTGGCACCAAGGTGTGCAAAAATGAAAACAAAAATTGATGTGCATAGGGTGTTTAATTTTTTTTTTCTTTTTTTATGTGACAAATTCCATCAAAACATATACTATTCCATCCTTAGTGGTGCTGCCGCTATTGGTAGCTTCTATTTCTTGAATAGGATCATCTCATGCACAATTTCTGAATTTAGACAATGTTCACACTTAGGCTTCGTTTTGGTTCTTAGAAATTGTTAGTGAAAAAAAAAAAAGAAAGGAAAGGAAAGGAAAACAATCCTCTATCCTACTCTCTCATGTACTTAAATAAACAGTAAACAAACAAATTTCTAAAAATTGATAGAAATCAAAGAGATGGAGAAAATTTATATCTAGAAATACAAAATTGCTTCTATTTTTTAACTTTTAATGCTTTTCCTCTTTGTTTTCCAAGGGTGACCAAATTAGAAGAAAAAAAATGATTTCATTTACATTTTCTTTTCCTTTTATTTCCTTCACCAAATCCACAGACAAAACAAAGCCTTAAGGTAGTATTTGGTTCACTAGAATAAAAGTGTAATGGAATGATTATTCCATCAGAATGTCCATTCTCACGTTTGGTTCACTACAAAAATGATGAAAAATATATTGCAAAATTGAATCATCATTCACTATTGTAAGGGTATGGTCATTCCATCAAGAGGTTAATGTTACATTTGAAATATTAGGTGAGAAAATAATGGAAATGATTGTGGTATCTCACCTTGGCAAGAAAAGAAGAAAAACGTGATTGTGTTTTCTCACTATTTCTTTGTATTTTGATTAGTAATCTTGGTACTCTAAAAAATTTATAGCCAATTGGTTTGCATAAGATAGAGTTCTCTTTCTCTCCAGTTCTCACCATTTCTTACCCAATTTGTAAACCAAACATGCAAATCTTATAATTTCTCATCAAATCACTCAATCCAAACAGACTGCAAAGAACGACCATTCCAACTTCATTACAGTGAACCAAACACAGACACAACCTAAGATTACTAGGCTATCACATTACAAAGAAAATAACTAGAAAATTTCACCAAGCAACACAACACCATTATGATCACGTAAAATTGAAGGGCGTCAATCATGATAACGCTTGAGTTTCTAACCCAGAATGATGTTCAAGTTAAGAATCAAATAATTTTATCAAAATATAAAATCCATAAAAACCAACAGAAAGGGAATTTCTAAAAATAAATAAATAAACAAAATTGAAAGCTGACCTTGAGGAATTAATCCCCAGCACTTAGCCTCTATGGACAAGCTCGACAGCAATCGAGATGAAGCTATTGCACTGTGCAACGGCATCATTGACTCCAAGCAGCTCAGCTCCACTGGTAACCTAACCCCCCAGAAACACACATTGATACACACGCATATATGTATATATGTATATATATATACATAGAGAGAGAGAGAGAGAGAGAGAGAGAGAGAATTGGATATTGTAATTTGAAGATCTAACCTTGAGGAGCGAGAAATGCGTGTAGCGGAGGCAGAGGAAGGAGAGTGAGAGGTCGATTTGAGGAGAGGGACATCGGATGATGAGGAGAGTGAAGATTTGTTGAGTTTGAGAGACAGAGGTCGCAGGCGAGAAGATAACCTAGACACCACGCTCGAACACGCCATTCAAACCTTCCAAGGGTTTCCAAGGGTTTATCAACACTAGACTAGAATCACTCACTAGTCACGACTATATGACGAGTTGAATGATAAACGACGCCGTCGTACGTCCCATTTTCCTCACAATTTTAATTTTGCATCTAAACTGTGTTTGATTTTCAGTCAATTTTATCTTCATCATTAGCCTGCAATTTATAATCACATAGAAGTTAGTGGCGTGGTACTGAAATTTCATTTGAAAATTTATTTTGCCTCCCAAATTAGTTAAAAAATATTAATTAGACTCTCAAATTTCATATTATTTAAGATTTTAATTGAGATTTTGGGACTAATTGGAGGTGGCATAAAATGAAATCTCAAATGAAGACAAAATTAAGTGTCGTCTAATTATAGATAGTAGTTGACAACAGAAGTGGAATTGATCCAAAATTAAGGTCTAGTTTAGCAAGTTTCAAAAAATTCAAAAAGTCAAAAAATTATTATCCTATTTAAGTCACATCATCTTATTTAAGTCACATTGTCTCTCTAACACATCACTTCAAACTCAATCCAAATCCAACCCATATTTCATAAAAAGTTAAATAATTTTGGTGTAAAATTAAAATTATAAGAAGTATAGTGATTAAATTGATTATCAAGATATAGTTTAGGATGTAAAACAAAATTTCCTCTTTTTCCAAACACAAAAGTTTTTATATAATTTGTCCTTCAATAAATAACCGGGAAAGATGTGTATCATATATACTTTATAACTAAAGAAGAAATTAACATAACTCTATATTTTATGTGTTATAACTAAAAAAGAAATATCATAATTAAACACCACATAATACATAATCAAAAATCTTATTAATTATAACTAAAATATTATTATAACTAAAGAAAAATAATAATTATGACTAAAAAAAATTATATAATTAGGGTGCATATGGTATAGTAAAATTTCCCTAAAATCACGTCATATGTAATTCAAATTTTAAAATGGTCTAATAAATGAAAGTGGACAAGTTTCGAAAATTTGGTTAATAGTTAAAAAGTTTTAAAAAATATTAGAAATGTCAAAAGGTTAAAAAATTTATTTTCTTTTTATTTTTTACACTTTTTATTATTTTTTTATTTTTTTAACTTTTTTTTGTAAAAAGTCAAAAAATTATATCAAACATAGTATTAATTTTTTTGCCTCATATTAAAACAATCCTGAATTGAATAAAATTACAACCACACATTTTCTAATAATATTTTGAGAAAATTACACAAAAAAAAACCCTAGAGTTTGACTTCAATAACAAATAAAACCCCAAATTTTCAATTGTATCAATTTAAATCCTGATTTTTTAAAATAGATTCAATACCAACCATCCGTTCCACTTTCTTTAAATAAACTAACGGGAATTTTGTTTATAACACACGTCACTTTATCTTTCAACCTTTGAAATCATATCAATATCAATTTTTGTCTTACCACACCAGATTACAACCATATCTTATCAACTCATCTTAACCACTCAGTTGAATATTGAATATTGCTTGTATGCCCATATGTTTGTTTGCAAAGAGGCTGAGTGATTGCAGTTGTTGGGGATGGTGACTGAGGAGCAATGGTAGCGGGGCTTAGCATGGGGAAGGGCCACGGTGGGTGAATTGTGGTGATGAAGGTGAAGCAGGTGGTGGCAATGGTAGAGAAAAAATTGTAGGAAGGGAGAAGACATAAAATGGTTAAATTGATAAAATTAATCCTCTCAGTTAGTGTTTTAATGGAGATGAACGGGCGGTAATGATTGTAGATAATTTTAAATTGTAGGGTTTAAATTGATACAATTGAAAATGTGAAGTTTTATTTGTTATTGGGGTCAAACTCCAAGTTTTTTTAAAAAAATTAATTTTTCCTAATAATTTTTTACCGTCTATTCAGGATAAAAGTGAGCCCCATATGTGATGTTGGGTCCATTCTGATTGTGAGTAGACAGTAAGAAGTATTGTAAAAAAAATAATAATAATAAAATAAAATAAAATTATTTGATTGTAGCAAGACTCTACTGGATTTATGGTTGTAATATAAAATAAGGTACTCTACCTTGCCTCGCATTTAATTTATTAAAAATTTGTTCAAGATCAAGTTTTTTTATTAAAAAAAAGTTAAATATATTTTAAAACTCTTTAAATTTTTAAATCAAACTCGAACAATCTACTAATTAACTCGATAAATATATATGTACATAATAAAAAAATCAAATTATTCGAATTCAACTCTTATTTGGCTAGTTAAAATTTTATTTGAGATTGACTCATTTTTTAAACAAGTTAAGTTTGATCTAGAACAGATCAACTTCGATCTGACCATCGGTATCTCCGACTCGCCTCCAGAAATGTTGTGATTCTGCACAAGTTAGTTGCGCTGTCAGAGACGAAACGAAGCTTCTCAGTGACGCAAAACAGATTCGTGATCGACGATAAGGAAAAAGGCAATGACGGTATGGTCTTGGCTTTTCCTCGATGCCACCGGCAAAGCCAAACTCAGATCTAGAAAAATGCAGATCTAGGGGTTCGAAACCCTAGATCTAGAGAGGGAAGAAGAGAGAAAATCTAGAGAGAGGATGAAAGAGAATGAGAATGGATTGTTTAGGTTTACGAGTAATGGTAGGGACCCCAAATGTTTTATCAAATGTTCTATCAAATGTCTCACATGGGTAAGACTCACATGGGACCCACAACACCCATGTGAGACATTTGGTAGAATATTTAGTAAAACATTTTGGGTCCTTAGCATTTTTCCTAGATATTGACAATCATAAGCGCCTAGAGGTTTGATTAAGAAAAATTAGGTTGTGTTTGGTAAGACTTTCAAAAACTAATTCTTCCTTTACATGCTAATCCTATGTTTGGTAAGAGTTTTCAAATTATAATTTCAAATCAATTTCAAAACACATTTAGAAAATATGTTTGGTATGCCAGACATTTTTTAAAATTTTTGTTCTACCTCGTTGACCGGAACAGTTCATTTTTATTTTATTTTATTTTTTATTTATTTTTTTTACAATTGCCGATCGACACTTGTTATTTGGAAACAAAAAAAAAATTATTTTTTTGAATTGAATTTTAAAAAGAATTTGGTTATGAGTTTTGAATAAAACTTTCAATAGAATTTTGAGTTGTGTGTTTGGTTATGAGTTATAAGTTTTTCAATTAAGTTTTGAAAACTCTTTTAAAAACTCATAACCAGACAACTTTTTTCATTTTATATGTCACATCAAAAATTTGAAACTCAATTCAAAATTCATAACCAAACAAATTTTCTTTTTTCAAATTATAATTTCAAAACTCACAAACTCAAAATATAATTCTATTCTCAAATAGTAATTCTAAAACTCTACCAAACGCAATCTAAAATTTGAATTTATCAACCAAGTGGCCTTCAAATAATTATTAAAATAGTATAATTCATTTAGTAACTCCTCAAGATAAAATATAATAATAATAACTTTGTTTTGTTTTTATTTTTAGAATTCACTTTTTAGAAAATTATACTTTTTCGCTTTTATTTTTTTGTTTTCACTGAATTTTTTTAATATTTTAAGCATTTTTTTAATTTTTAGACATACCTAACATAAATACACTAAAAAAATATAATATTTGTAAAAAAATCTTTAAAAAATTCACTAAATACCAAAAATATTAAAATTTAGTACCTTTTTTTGGTATTTTGTGTATTTATTAATTTTTAAAAATATTTTATTATTTAGATACATCTAAGTAAGGTGCATCTAAAAAAAATTTAAAAAAAATTATTTAAAATTTTAAATATATTGACTAAAAATAAAAAAATACGAAAATCAAAAAATTCAATTTTTAAAAAATTAAATTCATAAAATTAAAACCAAACGCTCTGAATAATATTAATATCCTATATTTATTATAATGAATGGGTGGGCTCGGAATTTACAAATTCTTTTAGGACCAAACTTGAAAAAATTACATTTGGTCCAATGTGGCCGAGCAAAGCTTGAACTAGTATATAGGTTCCTGCTGTAAGTCTAGAGGTTGTTGTCGTTGACTACCATGTAGGTAGTCTAAGTTAATTCCTTATTCGATAGGATATGACGATTTTTTTTGTTTATTGAATTACTCGGACAATTTTTTCATTAGTTCTCTCTCCTCCCATTAGTGATGCTAGCGAGCACTGGCCCTAATCAGAGGAGTGGTACGAAATATTGGCCTGCTCTGCAAAATTAAGAGGTGATTTGAGATTATTTAAATAAGTATATTTTTTGACTTTTTATGAAATATAGGTTGGGTATAGATTGAGTTTAAAGTGATGTGATAGAGAGGTGATATGACTTAAATAAGATGATATGACTTAAATAGGTGTGGGGATATATTTCTGAGTACCAACACGTGGCAAGATGACGCCGATGTGTCAGCCGAGGTGTCACGTGTCCTAGTCATTACGCCGAGGTGATCTCAGCAAGGCCGAGGTTATCTCCGAAGATATCGGAGTCCGAGATAAACGGATAAGGGACAAGAGTCCTAGAATGAAGAGGAGACTTAGTTAAGATGAGGATAAAGCTCTTAGGGAGTTTATCTTTATCTCTTGAAGAGTACAAAGTAAGTATTGAGTTGGAATCCATAGAAGTCAGGCTTCTATTGGGACTAGGATTAAGTGAACCATAAAAGAGAGGCACCCCCGTGGGTCTAAGGTATGCAATTTATGCTTTAAGTAGTGAGTTTAGCACTTGATTATCTTTGAGAGATATATTGACTTGATCGTCGGAGTGCCCCCGGGTGGAAGAGCCACCGCCGGAGCCTTTTCTTTCTGTTACAGGTTACAGAAGCCATCTATTCTGCCAGTACTCTCTAGCTGATTACTAAACGGGCAGTGTGATCAGAAAAATACTCACACAATTTGGCGCCGTCTGTGGGAAGAAGGAAGAATAGATGGCCAGTAACACACAGAAGGAAAGGATTTGAGACGACGCTCCTACTGGGAGTGGCAGACCAATCGACCTTGATATTGAAGGAGACAACCACAATGCAGAAACCCGTGACCAGGGCCACGGAGAGAACGAC